GAAATTCCACAGGTTATTGGTTCCAACAATTCAGATTTGCTAACATACCCATGGTGGTGAGAACAAAATGTCCTCAATGTCCTGTGGACGTGCAAGAGATGTTTGGCTGCACCTCTCTTTCAAAAACCAAACCACAACAGATTAGCAAACATACCTCATTTCAACTGTCAGTAGGTGGAGGGGAGATGATCTTTTGGGCTTGTTTTTCAGCCACAGGGCCTTGGGTGCCTTGCAATCAGTGGGTTAACCATGAACTCCTCTGTATAGCAAAGTATTCTAGAATGAAACATGAGGCCATCTGTCCCACAACTACAACTTAGTCAAATTGGATTGTGCAACAGGAAGATGAGCACAGCACAAAATCTACAACAGAATGGTTAAAAAAAAAAAGAGAATCAAGGTGTTGCAGTGGCCCATTAAAAGTCCAGACCTCAACCAAATTGAAATGCCGTGGTGGGATCTAAAGGGACCGGTACATACTGTAAACAAATGCCCACAAACCTTAGTTAACTGACGCAATGTTGTAACTCCATCCTGTAAAAATAACTGTTGCATTAGACAAGTAATTTTACTTTTTTCCATATCGCAGATGATAAAAGGACAATTTGCCACCCAAAATTAAGAGTGATAGCGGCAATATGTAATTTGATTTCCTGTCAAGTTTGTTTCTAGGGTGCACATTAATATAGTGTTTTCTACCCATAGTCTAGTACAAACTCTAGAATTTATTGGGTATCTTTACTTGATCAAGGCCATATAGTTATCGTCTCTTTGACCTAGAATAATAATTGGGCTCCTTTGACCTTCCATTGTTTTTTATTATATATATATCATCCTGATAAATCATAATGGCATGGTGTATGCAAAAGTGACTCTCATTAACTTTAATTACAGTGTGCCAAGTCATCTGAAGGCACTGTTTCGTCCCAAGAATCACCCAGATCCTCCCTCATGGCCACAGGCCCTGTCCTTCATCACCTGTGAAGGTGTATCTTATCTATTACTCCTGAATGGCTATTCATTAATCATTCCCTGATTCCAATCAGATGGTACTTGATGGTTAACATGGCTTTGTTTGGCCATCCTTCAGATGGTGGTATTGGTTTTTGGTTGACCATGGCACTATAGATCCTGCAGCCTATTGCTACTGGTACTTCTGTGTGCATAAGAGCAGCATTCCCCTATATATGTAGAAAACTGAGCCATGTAACTATGTGCAAACTGTTCGTCAGGAGTGTTGTGTTCTTAGCCTGACTTTGATATCCAAGTGTTTTAAATATTGGTTGGAGACCATAATCCTCTACTCATTGACAAAAAAACTTTCTACTAGTTTGACCAGAAACTGAGATGCAAAATTACCATCCCATCTCTTTGTCAATCACTAGAAGATGCTTGATGTGACTAATTGCCACAAATAGAAAATGGTGTGTGCAATGGAAGGAGATTGCAGGTAAAGAAAAAAAAAAAGAGGGAGATACAATAGAAATAGTTTGCTCTTGTGGCAGGATATCAATGGCACAAAGATGAAACAAATCAACCTTAGGTAGCCCCGGCTGTTAGCCAATCCATAGTAATCAGTGAGACTGCATTGAGCTCTCCGCTTCACGGACCCTTACCAATCAGCAGAGAAAACACAGATCTGTCATCTGTTTTCCTGTGCTCACTGATGGAGACAAAGGCCAGTGAGAGTAAAGTGTGGTAATTATTAGGGGTGCAACGATACACAAAATCCACGGTTCGGTTGGGTTCGATACTTTGGTGTCACGGTTTGATGTTTTTTTCGATACAAAAAAATGTTCATGCCTTTTTAATTTGTCATTTATTAAAATTATAAATATAGATTTTTAACTTGAAAGTACAGTTTTAAATTTAATGTTGCTGAAACAACAAAATAATAATTTTAAAAAATCCATCTGATCGAGAAATCACTCATCTTTGGAAAAGAGAATTTATTACAGAGAAATGGCTCTTTCCAAAATAAAAGCTATACTATCCGCTTCTTCTGGGCTATATTCTCAGCAGCATATTAAACATATCAGGTCCCCATAAGGACAATCATGTGCTAAAGGCTGTCTAAATGACTCGGGTAAAGTTTGTAGCATGCGTGCTTTTTGTTTTTGTCTGCTTTCACTTGTCTTTGCACTAAGATGATGTCAGCGTAAATGTGCAGTCATATTCGTTGTGTTCCCACTAGTGCTGTCAGCGTTAATCTCGTTAAAATGACATTAACGCCATAACGCGGCAAATCTCCGTTAACGAGTTACCGCGGATCGCCCCGTGCGTGGGGCTGGACGGCGTCAACACGTTAACAAGCTAACTGTGCTAATGCACTAGTTCCCACCAATTGAGCATTGCGTGGCACATCCGAAATACAGTTTTACTTTTGTCCATGACGCACTTACCATCAGGGTCATGCTTCACATGAAAACCAAGATAGTTCCAAAGGCCAGATCTGAATGAGGGTGGGGGAGGTTCAATTTCGGGTAGCGTTGAGGCAGTTGCCATGTTGCAACGAGCTTAGCTTCTGTCTTGCTAGCTTGTGCTGTGCTCAGTGGATCTGCACTCGACAGTGCAGCCTCGGCGGAGTAGTCGAACGCAGATAACACAGGCAGCATCGTCAGAAGAAAAGCTGATAAAGTAAATAAAATTATCTTGTATTGTTCGATACATATGCGTACCAAACCGAAAGCACTGTATCGAACGGTTCAATAGGGGTGCAACGGTATGCACCCCTAGTAATTATATATGAAGGGTGGGTAAGGAAACTGTGGCCCATGTATATTTCTGCCATAATGACCTTTTAAAGTCTTTTGTTCCCCACATTATTTGTCAGTCATTCAACAGTGTCCCGCTGGCTATCATTAGAAAATTGATCAGGGATTTGAACTAATGCATGCCCACTGCTAATGTCATAATACAGATGGCATGACTCACTTCAGCCTTGTTAAGGAGATTTTGTCTAATCTTGTCTTATGGACTAGTCTGGCCAAATGACTTCCAGAGGGATGTGCTGTGTCTATTTGTATTGATCCCCATTAATTGCTATGACAGGGAAATATAAAATTGTATGTTAGGTGTAATTCAGAAAATACCATGCATCTCCTCAGAGAGTGTGTAGACATAAAGGCAATGAAGATACAGACAGAGACGCACATGCACACACACATTCACAAACACACATCTGTTTTTGTGTCTGGTGGCATCATGAAATGAACTTCCTGGTAGGCAGATGATTTGGCATCAGTGTGCTCAGGTTTTCATAACCTTTGGATGCCTCCCACCCTTGTCCTACAGAGAACCGAGGACAAAGCTCTGTCCTATTAGAGATGAATAATGAGCCTGTTGGCAAAAGAGACGTTGCTAATGTTTTGCCCAAAACTCTAAAATCTGTCCCCAATGATAATGTATTCTACGCCTGTGCCAAGCAGGTCTATATTTGAAAAAGTGATTTCATTGCAGATATGACTTATAAAACCTGTAGAGTGGAAACGCATTGTAATATCTGGCAGGTGTGTAGGCATCAAAATAAGGGCTTAGTTTGTTTTCCTGTAATTGATGTCTTTCCTGTGTGGTGGCATAGCTTTGTTTGTTTATGCTAATAAACAACACCAACTTGGGAATGTGGAATAATTCTTTATAAAGTCTTTAGGGTAATCCTTTGAATACAAAGCTTATTTACTTCATATTTTTTGCAATATTTCATGTTTTTTTTTTTTTATTAAGTGGAATAAGAGAGTGTATGGTAGAATAGTATACTGCAAGCAGAGTCTTCCTACCGTGAAAGGTTATGGTCATCAGAGGCAAAAAGGTCAGCTTCATGGGAGACAAAGAGGGTTTTCCTATAAAGACTGCAACATTTAACTTTTTCTTTTGAAACTCCAAGTCAGGGACCATACTCACAAAGCTGTTCCCCAGGGTAGATTATTGCTTTGTAGAAGAAAATCTTTGAACGTTAACGGTCTCTGTTTTTTCACCATCAACTCTCACTCTTGGACACACAGTTTTTGAAATGTCAGTTCTTTAGGGCAACAGTTCTAATTTTTGTTTCGCTTAGTGTAAGTAAATAGATCTGACTGTGAGTTTTTGTTCAGAGATCCCAGGAGAGTGGCATGCATGCTCAGCAGAGAGACTTCTCACTGCAACCTCCCTCGAACATATTGATCAGGAATGCTTATTGGCGTCAGCCCTGTGAATAAAATGCTGCTCTATTGAGTTCAGTTCCCCACTGGGCAACTGAATGAAGAGACAAAAACCTTTAGCACTTTTTTGTGGACTGCTATTCAGCTCAAATCCTAAGCCTAATGACGTCACCGGTAGGAAGAGAAAAATTGAAAATGGCACCTTTGTAAACTGCACCTTTTGAAATGGCAATGTATATATCTGTTTTTCTTTTCTTTTCCCCCCTTTCTGTCAGTTTTATGTTATGTGTTGCAGCTTCTCCAGCAGATCGAGAAGAGCGCCGGATTTGGTGTTTATAAAATCAAGGGCAGATAAATAGTGTTGTTCTCCGGCTCTTCACTCAGAATCATTTGTTGACATCAGTGAGAAGAAGAGGCTTGACATGTGCATCCAGATACATATCCCTGCTGGAATCAACCATCCCATTAACATTTAAAACCCTGGAACATGAAAAATGACAGTGTTTATACAGATTCAGAGTACAGAATGAGCAACCTTCTGTATCCACATTATAGCAATTTTTAAGTTATAGTGTGGTGTGAGGAGTGGGAAATAAACTTTTCATATTTTTATTCTTGTGATTTTAAGCACTTAAATGTTGTGGGAAAAATGATTGTTTTTTTAATCTCTGAAATCATTTGAAATAATCCAACATGTTGAGTCCACTCAGTATGTGTTTTAAAATTAGAACCTTTTGATCTGCCTCTAACTTTTCACCCTTTTGATCTGTTTGACTTCAATTCATCGTGTTTTCCCTGAGCCTCAGAATGACTGTATGTAGTCAAGTGATTTCCCATATATCATTTATTTATTTAGTAATTAATTTATTTGTGTATTAATCTATGAGCTATGTATTTAATATTAAATAATGCACAGTCCTTCATGAGATTTTACGATAAACTTCGGGCTTTCTCAGTGGTCCTTTGTTTTCTGTTTGGTTGGAATATAGGGCAGTACAGTTTGGGTGCTCTTGTCAGAGACAGTTTGTGTGCTGCTATTTCGTAACAGTTTTTTGCGGCAGCCGGGGTTTAAGAGACCTTTCCTGGGTAGTGTGTGAGCTCCTGTCGTCCCCTTCACAGGTGAGGAGACATAAGAAGGGTCCAGACAGTTATGGAGGAGTGAGTGCTCAGAGGAAGAACGTTTGGGGGCAACTGAGCTGGCCAGGAGGCTGGGCTCAGTATCGCTATCTGGTGTAGCATAGCCACTCTTATCCTCTTGTAACTCCTCTTGCTCCTCCTCTTCATCATCGTCACAGCACAATGCATGGTACAGAATTTTGTCACTGAAGCGGACTCTTTCTCTTGTGCCAGAGGTACGGGAAGTCTTGTGGCTGTGCGTGGAGCTGCTGGCCTCCTCGCTCGATGAATCTGGAGTAATAATGCGTGGCCCATTGGGGATGGGCAGCCCGCCATTCATCTGAGAGTAGACAGACGCAGTGGTGGGGGGTGGGGTGGGGGTTTGTGTTTGGGTGAGGTTGGTCCCACGACCCATCTCCTGCTGTGGATCTCCTGGTTGCCCGCAAGATCTGCGAGCGGCTGCACCAGCAGCCTCCAGATAACTGCAGAACTCCCAGCTGTCAGAAAGGACATCTGCATTGAGGAAGTCCAATCGGAAGGCCTCTCCCAAGCCCCGCTCACTGCTGGACGTGCTGCTGGCTGTGGCCACGGTCCAGTCATCTGGATCCAGGTCAAAGTCAAAGTCAGACGTTAGTTTATCGATTTGACCCACCACCTGTGAAAGAGAATAAACAGTTTTAGGTAAAAGATTTTTTAACCTTAACAGCCACAAAGATCCAATCATAAATCTCTGAACAATGGTTCATATATTTAAGAATTGCTACTAAATTCTTTATGTTGTGCCAAGATTTCCAGAGAATGAATCAATAGCCAACTGTAGTGACTTTTACCTCATGACCTCAAGTTAATGATAAACTTCTCTAAAGCTAATGGATTAGTTTAAGCAATATCTGGTGCAATTATGTCTCTCTTAGATTGAATTGCATTTACTTTCCTAACTCCTGTTTTGGAATCAAGATCTAATTCTACTTCTTGTTAGTTTACGACCAAGCGCTTACAAAAATTCAACTTGACCTTTACTTTATGTTTAGTCCTATAGTAAGTAGCATAAAGTGCATTTTACCTCCAATATGTCCTTGTTATCATTTACCTCCAAAGGCCTCTGTGTCCAAAGGTAAGCTTATGAAGGCAAAATAATTAGGATAAAAGCTAAAAGTTACATTTCTGAAAAAATGATGCGTAATAATGTATATTAAGCTTTATATACATAGCAAAAAGTGCACGTATCACCTGTTCTGTTTTGGCTGGACTTTTATATGCTAACATAATTAGAACACATAGCATGTGCACTTTTGCCATTTTTGCATATTTATGTCATGAATGCATATTGAAAAAGAAATATTTTTGCACTTGTAGGAAAAAATGCAACGAGGGGATAATGGTCTTACTTTTTGCAGACACAGTACATGAATAGACCGACTCCAATTATATGAAATCTCTAGATGTTTCGCATGCCCCTGAATTGCCCCCCACTGGGAAGTTTAACAAAAGCCAACATTTACTCAGTTTGCCTTTACAGCTTGCCATTACTCTCTTTTGATCCATAAGTCTATAATTGTTTGTTCATAGTTTGGAAATTGTCTTTATTTCCACCAAGCTTTTCCTCAGACAGGTGTTAAAAAATTTGCTTCATGTTATATTAAGACAAAATTAAACAATCCTTTGGAATGAGCCTGTAGCATGAAAGAGACTTGAGACAGAAAAGGCACCACGTGCACCAAAGAATCCTCTCAGACCAAGCTGTGTATCCTAAATCCAGTAGCTGATTCATTTTAAAATGAGATAAACCTTCTTAGACCTATAGCTTTACAGTATGAACCCCTAATCCAGTGCTTTTGATGCCTGCACTTTGATGTTAATTGTAGTGCTATTGTAATGCCCATGTCAAACAAAATAAACTCAAATATTCACCTGCTGCACAGAAATGTACCACAAAAGCATTTCATTTATTGTTACCTCAAAATTAACCTCAATGCCTTTGTCATCAGCAGCAGTGTTGAGTGTTTGATGAATAGAAAGCACTTCAGTGGAAATCATGCTGGTTTGCTGACAGCACCTAAAATCCGAGCCCTCTATACTTGACATTTTAGCACCTTTAATCAGCATGTTCTGCTCTCAACAACAATCTATTGTGAAATGAAAACACTCAGCATTCATGTAGTTTGTAAATGATACATTTCCCCAAACTATTCAGCAATTAAGCACAGTGTTTTGAACTCAGAAAACTTTTTTTTAGAATGTGTACACCTCGATTTGCCCTGTAATTTCTGCCGAACAGCAGAGAAAGTGTAGTTTCACCCTGAGATTTGTTGAATATGATCTGTTTTCGCCCCCCCATAATTATTTGCAGTGCTTGCTTCTTTCTGACTCTTATGACTACAAAATGAGTATGCTTGTATCAAAAACTCCAAGTCTTATCTCTGTATGTGGAATTGCTATTGTAATTCATTCTTTGTCCAACATTAAAAGCTGTAAATTCAAACTTGCTGCTCGTGTGCTCAATAAAAAGCTTAAGAATAAAACTGAATCAATCTTCCATCCTAAATTTGGCTCAAGCATGGTTAGATTCTCCTTGCTGCTGTTTTATCTCAATCCTGAATTTTTCTTGGTGCTGATAAGTCAAAGCACCTGCATTTTGAATCTGGCTGCATACCTCTGCATGCACAGCATTGGCTCATCTGTCAATGAGCTTCTCTGCAGATCTGCCAGTTATGGCATCGTGCACCTCATGAGTACCTGGACTGTGCTTTTCCACTGGCATGCTGCCTGGAGGGAACTAGGCTGTATGAATCCTCTAATCCTTGAATTACTCCACCTGTTTGCTGTGTGATTTGCAGACTTTTACTCATGGAGCTGTTAATGTAAGATGTTTTCAGGGCCAGAGGAGTCTGAATAGCTTTGTTTACTTGATTGCAAAACCTAATTTAATCAGTGTGTTAAAAGAATAGCTATCAGATGTATTTCTCAACCCTGCTATTAAACCCGAATTTATTATTGTTTGGTTAGTAGTTATTGCCGTGAGCAACAAGTCATTTTTATATATCTTCTAATTTGCGTTTAAACAGATGGAGCACTTACAGCATACCGGGGTAAGTTCAGAGAAAGGTAACAGGTAATGCACAAATTGAGATTCTAGTTGCCAAATACATAGTGTTGCTGTACCTCTGCAGTGACCCTGAACCTGCTTATTTTCTATTTTAAAAGGCATTCCTGCATGCTTCAACTGTTTAGCGTGACCTCTCCCTGCAGTATGTAGTGGGCTAATTTAGCTTGATAACAGCTTCAGCCTGAAGGATCTGCTGATTCCATTTGTCACAATGCTGCACATGCTCAATGCAACAACAAAGAAGTCTAGTCTCTGCTTTTTTTCCTCCAGAGTGTGTGATGAAGGATCTATGGATGGAATTGGATGAGAAGATTATTTTAGCACAAAGGATGAATGAACACATCAGGAACAAGTTATTAACACTGTGCACAATGTGTTGGAAATAGCAGATGCATTATGAGAATGCATTACGAAGTAATTATGAAACGTGTAACACGGAACTTTATCTCATGTGGACATCACTGCACGTGGGTTATTAATCATATACTGGAAAAATAAATAAATAAATGAAAGCATTCCAGAGATCATGTACACAAACAAGCTAAACAACCGATGTGCGTATGGTTTTTATTGTCTGAAACATAGGCCTACAAGGTAAATAGTGGTTAGCTCATAAGGTGCTTATATTGAGTTCTCTTTTGTTTTTATTTCCTCCAAAAATGTAAAAATTCTGGAAGCTTAAAGTTGTGATAAACCTCTGGAGTCAGGCTGTGTATCCCCAACAGACTTCACGGCACATTCATACTACAAAGTTTATGATGCGGTGATGGCATATCCTTGTGACTGAAAAGACTCCATTTGCAACACAGTTAAGCAGTAATGTGTAGTATAAGCATGGATATAAAGTGCTGGGGATTAGACTTTAACTTCAGTCTATAATTTTCTCTCCATGCCTCTGCTGACAACTTCACTTACTTGCTTTACTGTAAATGCTGTCTTATAGAAGCTATTAAAAAGTATGATGACTATAACAATAACCATGATTTTCTGTGTGGGAATGGTAAGCAGAACATGATTTGTTTATTTTAGATTAACGGTTGCCCAGGAAGAATCGCACACACAAACTGAGTAATAAATGGCATTGTAATCTTTTTTTTCTGTTTCATTGCACACTATCAGCCAGCAGTCACAAGTCAATTGAGAGCATATCACCTGATCAACAGAGAGTTGAGTCATTTCAAAGCTCTTTGAGGTGCTTTAAAAGAGAGGCTGCCTCAGTAGCATCAGGCGAGGTTTTATTACTGTACCTCAACACCTGTCTGAAATGATGGTCTGGGTAATTGAGGGTCAGACTGAAAGAGGGCACCCTCCAGCCTTGTCTGTAACAGAAAGGCAGAGTGACGGAAAAGACAGGCAAGAATTATCTAGCACAGATTTGTGTAAAAACTATTAATGAAGCCCCCCCTCAGGAGTGGTGATTTTTCTGTAATATTCAGCACCACCTGGTCTCTTGATTTATTTATTGTAGCTGGGCACCTGATTTCTTTCTCCCAAAGTGAGTGTCTTTTCTCTCTTACGGCTAATTAAAATTGTACCAGAACATTAGTACTGTAACATTTTTTCCCAGATCTGATGTTTAATATGTTGTTGAAAATTTCAGACAGAGGTCAAAATCAGCAAATGTGAAAATTTAGGTGTGAAATTGCCTCTGATGAGGAGGGTATATTTACCACATGTTCTAATCACTCAGTTGGTCTTTAAGCAGATGTTTAACTGGAATTGCTTGTTTTGATGCGCATTGATGGTTTTCTGTGTGGAAAGATTTTTGTTAGCTGTCTAGTAAACAGATGGGAATTACAATTCTTTGCAAGTCTTACATAAAAGTGCATCTTTAACATGTTTCTAATGATGCCAGTAGAAAGGGTATCTGGTTTTCCATATGCATTACATATTTTAGTGTTTACCAGAAAGTAGAAAACAGCTCTGAAATATGCTATCAGTAGCAATGCAGTTTGTACATATGTAAAGAATAAATCAGGTGTGAGTTACCAAAATAAATGAGACATAACACCCTCACTGGGTTCATTTGAAATGCACGCAGTATGAGTGAATTTTCTGTGGATCACTTCATTACGCTGTGTTCAAGTGGCCTCTCTCCATCTGTTCCTGTGCCACCCGTTCTTCCAGGAGTCATTTTCAGAGCAGACTGAGAGAAGTTTGCAGTGCTTGTTCGTTAATTATGCAGCATCCAGCGTCTAGCATAGCTTTGCTTTTTTTCATGGGAAAATCTCAAATGTTCAGAGGCGCTATTCAAACAAATCTAAGTGTTATTTCTTTCTCAACATGTCACAATAGATTTCCAGCCCTCCACTGTGCAGCACTTTCAGCACTGAAAGCGGTTAATGCCAGTTAGGAAGTCTCAGCAATTATCAAAATGGCCTTGCATGCTGGCTTTGTAAGTAAAGGCTTCACAAATATTGTTTTAATGCAGTTAACTCCAGCAGTTTTGCAGCTCCTTCTTACTCTGTATCCTCTCCTTATTTCCCCTCAATTGAATTCTCCTCAAGCCGAGAAGAGGGAGGCATCCAAGCCACTCATATTTTTGTGAT